GCTCAGGTTTTGCTGGGTGGGCAGAGGTCCTGGGGGAGGGGGAGACCCCCCCAGGCCAGCTGGGACCTTGGTTCTAGCACAGGAAGTCCGTGACTTACGACCATCATTGACCCCAAAATTACTGTTGCTAAGTGAGACACTTGTAAAGTGAACTTTGTCCCGTTTTACAACCTTTCTTGCCGCAGTTGTTAAGTGAATCACTGCAGTTGTTAAGTGAATCACTTCCCCAGAGGGGAATCTTCTGACCGGCAGAGTCCACGAGGAAGGCGGATTCGCTTAACAACCATGTTGCTAACTTAACGTCTGCAGTGATTCACTTAACAACTGCTGCAACCGTCATAAGTACGTGCCGGTTGCCAAGAGTCCACATTTTGTGATTGTGGGAGGCTGAAACGGTCGTAAGCCCCTTTTTCTCAGTGCCATTGTAGCTTTGAATGGTCGCTATTCGAACCGTCGTAAGTCAAGGACGCGCCTGTCTCTCTCTCTCTCTCTCCCCCTGGCAAAGGCAGCAGGTGAGAGCAGGGAGGTTGGCACGTTGACCACCTTGAGGTGGGCATAGAAAGTCCTGGGCTTCCTTGGGCATAGGATCTGTTTGAGTTTATTAGGACTTGTATGCCCAGTGCCCGGGCCTGGTTTGGTCTGTTTATTCTGTGCCGCGCAGGATAAACCCCCATCCGTGGCACTGTGGTCGAGCGGTCACCTGGTGAGGTAGAGCCAAGGAAGCCCGGGGGGGGGGNCGTCTGCAAGAAAGCCACCCGGCTCAGAGGGCCTCCGTGAATCCTCCTTGCGGGGATTCAGTTCAGATCCGGTTCCCCCCTGCAGGCTTGGGAGATTTGCAGGCCTGTTGGGGGAGATTTCAGGAAGGCAATTGGCCAAATGCCGTCTAGCCCTTCTGATCCGCCGTTTAGCTCCATCTCTGCTGGGTGGCCTGGTGGTTAATTGGATCCACAGCTGGCATGGGGACCTTAATTAAGGAGTCCTCCCTGCATTCGGTTGGTAACGGAGATCTTCTGCCGGTTTCAATGCCGGCTTTCCTTCCAAATTTTATTCCCGGCTTGGACGAAGCAGTGAAGAGGACCCCAAATGAGGCAGAATAATAATAATATCTCAGGGCAGAGAAATACAATTCAGAATCACATTGGTCTGGAACAGGGGGGGTCCAAACCTGGGAACTTTTAAGACTTATGGACTTCAACTCCCAGAATCCCCCAGCTAGCAGAATTCTGGGAGTTGAAGTCCATAAGTCTTTAAAGTTCCCAGGTTTGGACACCCCTGGACTAGAAAAACAGGCTGAAAATCACAGAATGAAATGGAAGAGGCAACTCCAACATGGAATCGGCCCCACCTGGCTTTGTAACCATACCTGTGGCCCAGGTGTGCCAGCGGCCTTCCAGTTATCAGCCAGGCCCTTCTTCAAAAAGGCAGCTGCAGCTTTAAGGGGCTTGAACAAAAGTTTCCAAATCACACACACACACACAAAAATATTTAATAGTCCTGCTTTATTCTGCTTTGGTCAGCGGCCATCTTGAGTTCAGGTAGTCCTCAACTTATAACCATCCATTTAGCGACGGTTCGAAGTTACAAAGGAATTGAAAAAAAGTGACTGATGGCCATTTTCACACAGAGGACAGATTTCCCCCCCCTGGTCACATGATCACACTTCAGATACTTGGCAACTGGCATGTACTTACAACAGTTGAAGATTCCCAGGGTCACATGACCCTCTCTGGCGAACTTCCCACAAGCAAAAAAGTCAATGCGGGAGCCAGATTCAATTAACGACCATGTGACTAACTTAACAACTGCAGGGATTCACTTAATACCAGCGGAAAGGATAGTTGTAAAATGGGGCAAAACTGACAACACATTTCCCACTGATCAACGCGTGGTGGTGGTGGTAAGTCAAGGAATACCTTTTGGTGTCCAATTAATGATTATTATTGGCCAGGAGGGCAGAGAGGTGGGGAGGATGGGGCTTAGAGGTGGAGCTTTCACCTCATAATCAAGAGGCTGTGAGTTCAATCCTAGGTAGAGGCAGCTATTTCTCTCTCTCGGCACACAGAGATTATATCTGCCGAACAAAACTCCTCATTGGCAACAGGAAAGGCATCTGGCCAGGAAACTGGCTCCATTCAGTTGCCCAGACTCCACCCCAATGCAAGGGATTATGGGGTCATTCAAAGGAGAAAATGATGATTGGCAGGGAGGGCTGAGAAAAGGAGGAGGATGGGAGCCAGAAGAGAAAGGGGGGAAGGAAAGCAGGGTCCCATCAAAAGGTAGGGAAATCTTGGCTGTGGAGATTCTTAACCATCCAAGTTTGACGGTGGTCCCAAAGATCCTTTTTATTCCCCCCCCCCAAAAAGACAACCGGACTTTCTTGGGTTTTTTACCCCCCCCTTCCTTGAAAACGTTTTGTTTCTCATCAAGAAGATTCCTCCTCCGTTCCAATTTCAGTCCGGTCAGAACGGAAGAGGCTTCTCGGATGAGAAGCGAAATGTTTTCAAGGGAAAAACAGCAACAAGAAGAAAGTCCAGTTGCCTTTTTGGAGGAAAAAATGCATCTTTGGGTGAGGAAAACCTTCCTGAAAGTCGGAGGGAAGCAGACCCCCCCCCCATGTGGCTGGACTTCCCTTTTCTGGCAGGGTCCGAGGGGGAGGGGCTGCAAACTCCCCCCCCCTTTTTTGCCTTAATTTGGATCCCAGCCTGGAGGAAGCAGCTGGCTTTGTCATTTTAATTTCTCCTGGGAGTCGGGATCCAGCAGGGGCCCTTTTGATCTGCTCAGCCGGGCTGCATCCGAGACGCTCGGGCTCTGGTTTAAGCTATCAGCCTGCACCCCACATCTGGGGGGGGCGACCCCCTGCAACAGAGGGCCCACGCGGGCTTCCCTCGCCCACCCTGACTGCCGCGCTGTCCAGCCACGGGCATCATCTCAGCCTCCAGGAAGCCTCCACGGGGGAAGCCCCCATTCTGAAGGAACTCATCGACACCCCCTTACAGGTCCGACATGGTCTATACAAGGGTCTCCTGCTTGAGCAGGCGGGATGGACTAGAGGACCTCCACGGTCCCTCCCGACTCTGTTGTTCAGTCATGCCCCCTGCTTTCATCAGAGACGGGGCCAGGCCTGAACCCCCTTCCAACTGCCAGAGCCCAGGACGCTCCCTGAGTCTACGGGGGGTCTCCAACTTCGGCGACGTTAGGACTTCAATTCCCAGAATTCCCCAGCCAGCCCTTGCATACTACCCGTAGTCTATATCCGAGGTTCTGAGTTCTAATCCTGGCAGCATTTCGCACCGAAAACTCCCCAGCCAAAGCAAGGAGGCCCAGCGTGGGAGCTTGCAGTGTCTGGCACCGGGCATTTCCCCCCCCCCTCCTTGGCAGCGGGACCCCCGTTGCCTTGACCTGCAGAGGAATTTGGGAAGTATTTGCAGTACCAATCAGATGCCCAGAATCCTCTGGAGCAGTGTTTCTCAACCTTGGCAACTTGAAGATGTCCGGACTTCAACTCCCAGAATTCCCCAGCAGNGTCATTAGGATGGATGAGGCTCCCATGAAACCTCGGGAAGATAAAGCACCCAGAACCCCACCATCTCCTTCCTCCTCCTCCTCCTCCTCCTCCTCCTCCTCCTCTTCACAAAGCCCGCTCCCTCCCAGCACTGATGAGGTTACCTAGTTGGGTCATGAAACGTCTGCAAGAAAGCCACCCATAAACAGGAGTCAGTTTCCAGGGGCCGGACTTTGGATCACGTGACCCCGGGGGGGTCATAAGTGTGAAAAATCACTCTCTTTAGTGTCGTAACTGAATGGTCACTAAATAAACTGTTGCAAGCCGAGGACTACCTGCAATGTATTTTCTGAATTGTAAGCTGCCGAGAAATTTCTGGCTGAGGTGCGCAGTTGTAGGAATTAAAATAAATAGAAGAATAAAAGAAAATAATATAATTTAAAAAAATAAATGAAATAATAATAAAATAAAAAAACAAAATAAGAAAAGAAAAGATAAATAAAATAATAAAAGAAAATAGTAATAATAATAAAATTGAAATAAAACAATAAAATAGAATACTGTGTTTCCCCGAAAATAAGACAAGGTCTTATTTTCTTTTGCCCCCATGAAATATGGCCGAGGGCTTACTGTTTTGGGGTTGCCGGGCGGCTTCTCCCTTGTGAAGTGGTTCCCGAAGAGCCGGGCACAGCCTCAGGGGCGAAGCAGCCATGAGGTGACCACGCTCACGAACAGCCGCCGGCAACCCCCCTCTCCGGCCGGGCAGAGCGCCATTCACTAACCTAGGGGGTATCCCTAAGGCGCCAAGCCACGTGGCGCTCCGCCTGCCCCCCCCAGCTCCTGTGGCTTGGCGCCTTCGGGATACCCCCTAGATCAGCGCATGGAGCTCTGCCCGGCTGTAGAAGGGGTTCCGTGAGCACCTGTTCCACCTCAACCGCGCTCCGAGCATCACTTCTCCGTCTTCCAAACTCCAAAACTCGGCCGCCAAGTCTTCCGGCAGCTGCCGCTCTAGCTGTGCACTCTATGGTTGTGGGCCGGCTGCTGGAAGACTCTCTGTCCGGAAGACTCTCTGTCCAGCAGCCGCCCGGCAACTCCCCCCTCCGGCCAGGTAGATTGACACTCCCCAACCTAACGGTATCCCGAAGGCGCCAAGCAACGTCAGCGCCTTTCCTCCCCCCGGCTCCCGTGGCTTGGCGCCTTCGGGATACTGCTAGGTCGGTGAGCAGGGCTCTGTGTGTCCGGGGGGGCTTATTTTTGGGGATGGGCTTATATTTTTGCCCACGCAAAAAATGTGGCAAGGCTCCAGTTTCAGGACAGGTCGTATTTTTGGGAAAACACGGTAGAATAAAATAGAATAAAAGAAAATAATAATGTAACTTAATAATAAAATAATAAAATAAAATAAATATAAAATAATAAAAGAAAAGAAATACAATAATAGAGTAAAATTAAAAGAATAAAAAGCATGAAAAGGAATTTAGCCCTCACCTGCCTGAAGGACTTTCCCCACCTCCCACTTTCTTCCTCCGCCTGGGCATTTCCTGGTGGCCTCCCATCCTCCTGCATGTCCTCCAGAGTCCCCGCCTTGGAAGGTCCCAGAAGCAAACGGCCCCCCTTCCTCGCCATTCCCTTTCTCTGATTCCTTCTGCCCCCCCCCTTTCCAGAACCACCAGGGGGTCTGCCCCCAGGAGAGCGTCTACTGTGAAAACAAGTGTGGGGCGCGCATGATGCGCCGGCTGCTCTCCCCACACATGCTGGCCGAGTGTCCGAAGCGCACCCAGCCTTGCAGCTACTGTGCCAAGGAGTTCCTCTACGACACCATCCAGGTGGGTCACTAGGGGGGGGGGGAGCTGACCTTACGGGGAGGGGCTGGGAGCAAGCTTGGAAGGAAGGCCCCCTGCTTGGTCGTCGTCCCCCGTCCCCCCGGTGGGCTGTGGGAACTGATCCAGACTGCCGAGCCCTTCGTGGCCCAAGTGACCCCTCCTCTTGGGGGGGGGCACAACTGTGTTGGGCTTTGCTGGATTTGGGGGGGGGCTCGAGGACTGAGAGGGCTAAGGGTCCCCAAGGATGAGGGTGGGAGTGGGGGGGTCTTCTGTGGCAGCTCCCCCTGACCTTGGAGACTTCATGGGGTTGTAGAGTAGAGCTTCACTGCAGAAGGGCAGTCTACCTCTAAACCCTGGAGGAAAGGCAGAGCCCGAAGTTTTGCCGTATGACCACAGAATTGTTGCAACGGTCAGAAGTGTGGAAAATCGGTCGTAAGTCACTTTCGATGCCGTTGTAACGTCAAACGGTCGCTAAATGAATGTTGCAAGCCGAGGACTTCCTTAATCCCCACGGTGCCTTTTCCCCCCCCCTCTCTCCAGAACCACGAGTACCAGTGTCCCCGCTACCCCGTGCCCTGTCCGAATCAGTGCGGGGCACCCAATATCGCCCGGGAGGACTTGAGTGGGCACGTGAAGGAGAATTGCTCAACCGCCTTGGCCCTCTGCCCCTTCAGGGAGGCCGGCTGCAAACACCGGGTAAGCCACAGCCCTCCCGGCCTTCCCCGGAGATAGGCAAAGACCCCCCCGGCCTCTTCCTTGGCTTCCGGCCCATCTGGCAGCCATGAATCCCAGCCCAGGAACCCGTTGTGGGGTCAAATTTCCTGGACTTCTGTCTTGGCTTTGGACTCCTTTGGGAAGGACCCCCTGGCAGTTGTGCCCGCTGGAAATATCGGTTGTGGTGCCCTCGTCTCTGGAGCAGTGGGCAGGCGGGTTCTGTGGCCACAGCTGGCAAGTCACCACATGGTGGGGAGGGCCCGTCTGGCTCGGGGCAGAGACCCTGCCAAGCTAAAGCTCGGGTGGGGGGCAGCGGAGTGTGGGACCTGTGCAGGGGGAGCCTGGCACTGTGTCCCTGGGACCCTGGCCGCCTCTAACCGCTTTCTCTCCCCTCCGCCCTCCCGCAGTGCCCCAAAGTGTCCCTGGGCCGCCACCTGGACGAGAACACCAAGCTGCACCTGGGCCTGATGGGGGCGCTGGTGGCCCGGCAGCGCCAGGAGCTGGCCGAGCTGCGCCGCGAGGTGGAGGAGCTGGCGGTGGGCAGCGACGGGGTGCTGATCTGGAAGATCTCCGACTACGGCCGGAAGCTGCAGGAGGCCCGCCTGCGGAGCAACTACGAGTCCTTCAGCCCCCCCTTCTACACGCACCGCTACGGCTACCGGCTGCAGGTCTCGGTCTTCCTGAACGGCAACGGGAGCGGGGAGGGCAGCCACCTCTCGGTCTACATCCGGGTCCTGCCCGGCCAGTACGACAACCTGCTGGAGTGGCCCTTCGCCTACCGGGTGACCTTCTCGCTGCTGGACCAGAGCGACCCCTCCCTCTCCAAGCCCCAGCACATCACCGAGACCTTCCTGCCGGACCCCGCCTGGAAGAACTTCCAGAAGCCCGGCACGGGCCGCACCTCCCTGGACGAGAGCCTGCTGGGCTTCGGCTACCCCAAGTTCATCTCCCACGAGGACATCAAGAAGCGAAACTACGTCCGGGACAACGCCGTCTTCCTCAAGGCCTCGGTGGAGATCCCGCCCAAGATCCTCTCCTGAGGGGGCTGCAGAGCGGAGGAGCCGGAGGGGGGGGGCGGGGTGGATGCCCCCCCCCCTCTGCCAGGTTTCCCCGCTTTGGAAGAGCAGCTCTGCTTCTGAGGACGCTCCCCCCCCGCCCCCGCGATCTGCCTTTCTGCTTCGGATCGTCGTCCCCCCTTCGGTTGAAATGGTGCTAATTGCTGCACCTTTATTGGTGCAATTGTTGGGGCTGGCTTGGGGACGGGGGGGGGGGGTTGCATTCTTCCCAGGAGCAGCTGGGCTGCCTCTGCGACCCCCCCCCATTTTCTCCCCAAGCGCCCTTTGGGGTCCCTGCAAACACCTGCCCTGGGGAACTTCAGGGAGCCTGCTGGGGGCAGACCAGATCGGGGCCTTCCAGACGGGGTGTGTGTGTGTGTGTCCCTCTGCACACTGCCCCCCCTTTCCGTGGAACAGCTGTGTGGGGGGGTGAAGGCCGGAACCCCCGACTCTTCCTTCAGTGTCCACGCTTGGATGGCTGTCTTGGACCTATTCAGAGACGGGGTGGAGGGGGGGGCTGCCCAGCACTCAAGAGCCATATTATTGCCGGTGGGCCTTTTTGCCCGGGGGGGGGGAGAAGGGGGGGCTGGCCACCAGGCCACCAGGGGTGTAGCTGCAATCACTACTCCTCTCTCCCTTTTTCGGAGTTACATTTTTCTGTCTTTTTAATAAACCGTTCCTTGTATTTATTAATTGATGGACGGATGGTCTCCCTTCTCAGCTCTGGGCCAAAAGGCCCCTGCGGGAAAAAGGAGGGGGGGTGGGGGTCAGCCAGCCCCCTCCTCCCCCAACACAGACCCCTCCTCCTCCTCCTCCTCCTCCTGGGAATTTGGAGGAAGTGAAACAGACCCCCCCCTCTTCGCTTTTTGGTCAACTTTAAGCTATCCGGTCAACTTTGCCCAGAAGTGGAGGCCGGGGGGGGGGGGCTTTGGGGCCCCCAGGGTTCCCTGATGCTTCTGCCCAGGGGCTTTGGGAAGAGGGAGGCACTGGGGGGGGGGTCCTTGGTGCGGGGGTCCTTGGTGCTCTCTGAGCTTCCTGGTTTTCTTGTAGGCATTTCATTA